AAAAAAACCACCCCATTTTTATTATATAGATAACTTTTGTAATGCTTGAGTCAGTGCTACAAGTACACCCATCACCCTAGCAATAGCCTTTTAACTTTTAATCAAGTTTTACAACCATTCCACAATTCTATGTAACCCATAAAACTGAAGTCTTCCTATATTAAAACTAAACTTTCTTTTTCCTAATTTTTTCTGAGAAAGACTCTCACTTTGTCACCTTTGTAGAGTGCTGTGGTGTCATAGGTCACAGCAACCTCAAACTCTTGGGCTCAAGTGATCCCCTTGCTTCAGCCTCCCAAGTAACTGTGACTATAGGTATCTGCCACACCCTCTGGCTATTTTTAGAAATGGGGGTCTCACTTTTGCTCAGGCTGGTCTCGAACTCCTGAGCTCAGGCAATTCACCTACCTTGGCCTCCCAGAGTGCGAGGATTACAGGCGTGAGCCACCATGCCCGGCCAAAACTAAACTTCCGTTTTTTTTTTTTTGGACAGTCTCACTTTGTTGCCCTCAATAGTGTGCTGTGATGTCACAGCTCACAGCAACCTCAAACTCCTAGGCTCAAGTGATTCTCTTCCCTCAGTCTCCCGAGTAGCTGGCACTACAGGTGCCCGCCACAACATCCAGATATTTTTTGAGATGACGTCTCACTCTTGCTCAGGCTGGTCTTGAACCTATGAGCTCAAGCAATCCACTTGCCTCTGCCTCCCAGAATGCTAGGATTACAGACATGAGGCACCATGCATGGCCTAAACTTTCTTCATCATTACAAAGATTGCAATGATGTAAAATGTTAAGTAATTAATTATAAAACTGACCTTTCCCTAAGTCTTGCAGTAGAACTTTGAACTTGATAACCTTGTTTGGCTAATGCCAAGGAAAGTCAAGGTTCATGACACATAACCATGGACTTCGACAAACTTCAGTCACCCATGTAGTGAAGTCTGACAAGAGGGTTCAAATGTTATCAAGTGGTCCTAGCTGACCAACATGTGCGTTTTGATGAGTTTGGGAACTCTTTCCAATCTTCACTTATCAAGTCACTTATCTTCAAATGATTAAAAACAATCTCTTTAAACAGAGAAACTGCAGTGTACAAAGAAAAGCTACTCTTTTTTAGTTAGTTATATAATGGAGAGAGACTGAGTGAACAAAAGGTTAATTTTTAGCCAGAAAGGAAGCTTTTAGGTAAACTAAGGAGTTTTGAATTCAGCAATGGCTGAACTTAACCACATGAATGAATAACTTTGTCATAGTTATTAGATTCACCAAAATAGTTCAGTAGCTCCAGCCGGAATAAAAACTATTCATCAAATGAGATAAAACATTAAAGAAAGTAGAATAGGTTGAAAAAGTTTATAATGGTGCCCATGACATAACTGTGGACCCATGCCCGTGCCCATGACATAACCATAAAGAAGCCAGGAGCTTCTAGTACAGCAGCGGTTCTCAACCTGTGGGTTGCGACCCACAGGAACTGTATTAAAGGGTTGTGGCATTAGGAAGGTTGAGAATCACTGTTCTAGGAAGTGTACAAACACTTCTAGGAAACTCAAGAGTTAGAAGGTACTGAACAAAACTTATTAAGAATAAAAGCTGGTGAAAAGATTTTAAAAAGTCATTTTGTTAGCCTAACTGGAAGTTTGCAGGAACCCTTTGTTAAAAAAAAAAAAATTAAGGCAGGAGGATTACTTCAGCTCAGGAGTTCCAGACCAGCCTGAGCAAAGTGAGACCCCATCTTTACTAAAAATAGAAAAATGTGGCATATGTCTATACTCCCAGCTACTCGGGAGGCTGAGGCAGGAAGACTGCTTGAGCCCAGGAGTTTGAGTAGCTGTGAGCTAGGCTGAGGCCACAGCACTCTAGTCTGGGCAATAGAGAAAGGCTCTGTCTAAAAAAAAAAAAAAAAGAAAAAAAAAAAAGTACCTATCTTAAGAGGTGAATGTGTGGACTACATAAGGCATAAAAAGCATTTAGTGTAGAATCTGGCATCAAGTAAGCATTCAATAAATGTTGGTCATTATTTCCATTTTTGCTGAAGAGTTTTAAAATTATCTTAATCCCATAAAGAGTTATGAAGAGGCTGAAGGGATCACTTATTTCTAACTACCCCATGTTTTAGGGTGATGCTGTTTGACAGAACAGTACTCATGACTGCAGGGCAGAGGGTATAAAGGAGTCTGATGACTCCCTACACCATGAAGCAGTAATTTAAACGTATAGTCTCTAGAACAGCGGTTCTCAACCTGTGGATCACGACCCACAGGAACTGTATATTAAAGGGCTGCAGCATTAGGAAGGTTGAGAACCACTGGTCTAGAGTCAAACAGAGCTGGGTTTAGGTAGCTCTTACTGTGTAAAAGCTTTGTGTCTTTACACAGCTATCTGTGCCTCAGCTTTCCCACCTGTAAAAGGAGAAAAAGTATAGTAGCTACTTCATAGGGCTATCTAGATGAAAAAATGAGATGTTATATACAAGGTTATTGGCAGAGCCCTGTCACATAGTTAGTGAGCACCTACAATCTGCTAGGGGAGCCGATAAAGACTATCACTGTTAGCAGCAAGAAATGTTACTGTTATGACCAATTCAAACTCCAAACTAGATGTAATCAGAATATCTATTTCATTATCTCCTGATCTAAAATGCTAAAACAACCTGACATTATTAATAATGGTATTTTTGCAGTTAAAAACAAGATCTCAGTAGCTAAGTTTCTTCACATAGAATAGTCTTACTTTAATTCTTTCTCAGAACTCCAAAGCTCATTCAAATTTGGTTTATTAGTCTATTATGTTCAAGCTAATTAAAAATTCAATTAAAAAAACCACATGACATACCTTTCATTTCCTGAAATAATTTTGTAAAAATAAAATATAAACAAATGTTTCACATAATATAAAATTATACCAATATCCCATAAGAAATTACATTTACTGTCTTAATTATTTGTATTTCACAAATGAAAGAACAGAATAATATTTTTATAGTTAAATTCATTTGCATATCACCTGATTCTTCAGCTGGTTAAGTGTTTGTCTCAAATTGTCTGTTGTTGTTTGGTTGCTTTTAAAAAACTCAGCTACTGCTGTATTCAAAATTATTTTATAATCATCTTTGTTTATATCTTGTAGACAGGCAAGGTGTTGTAGACAGGCATCATAATTTCCAGACTAAAAAAAAACAAAACCCACACACACAAAAATTACACACCAGCTTTAAGAACAATACATCATTTCAAATATACTTCACTTAACTTTATTCTAAAAGTTCTTTTTTTTTTTTTAGAGACAGAGTCTCATTTTATCACCCTTGGTAGAGTGCCATGGCATCACAGCTCACAGCAACCTCTAACTCCTGGGCTTAGGCGATTCTCTTGCCTCAGCCTCCTGAGTAGCTGGGACTATAGGCACCCACCATAATGCCCTGCTATTTTTTTGCTGCAGTTTAGCCGGGGTGGAGTTCAAACCTGCCACCCTCAGTATATGGGGCCAGTGCCCTACTCAATCAGCCACAGGCGCCACCCCATTCTAAAAATTCTTGAAGCGAAATATAGTTCTCTTAATATCCTAATAAAATCACTAGATAAAGCGATATTCATGTCATTTATTTCCAAAGGCTCAAACTGTGACACTGACACATGTAAGATACATTCATATATAAATATAATAGATATATTGGTATATATGTATATTGCTAGCTGAGTATAAATATAGTAAAACCTCTCTGTGTAAGATGATCACTCAAGGGACTGTAATAAACTGGTCACTATATTGACCATGGAAGTGGTCAACATAAGCAACTAGGCCTTTGGTACTGACAGTACATGTTCAATTTATAAAAATTAGGTCAACTAAAGGAGATGGTCAATATTGGGAGGTGACCAACTATCTATAGTTCTACTGTAGTCGAAACTAGCTATGAAAAGTCATATAATCACTGGAAGTTTTAATTTCTATTAGGTTATTAAGTAGGAAATGTCTGATTTATTTACTAAGTTTGACAGTTGCTATCTCTGACATTCCACTTTGACACTTTTTTTATTGTGAAGGTACATCCTCATTCTTTCTTTCTTTTTATTTTTTTAGAGACAGAGTCTCACTTTATCGCCCTTGGTTGAGTGCCATGGCATAATACTGCTCACAGCAACCTCCAACTCCTGGGCTTAGGCGATTCTCTTGCCTCAGCCTCCCGAGTAGCTGGGACTACAGGCACCTGCCACAAAGCCCATCTATTTTTTTGTTACAGTTTGGCCAGGGCCAGGTTTGAGCCCACCATGCTCAGTGTATAGATAGGGCCAGCGCCCTACCCACTGAGCCACAGGCACTGTCCATCTTCATTCTTTTAAACATGTGTTTTGGTTTGTGATTACTTTTCAAATATTTTTATAGAGCAATTTTTGTGAAACCATGGATAAGTCAAAAATTCAGGTCATTTTCGAACAGGAGTTGCATCATGGAACCAATGCAGTAGAGACAACTCAAAATATCAACAAAGTGTTTGGGAAGGATGTGGCTAACGAATGCATAGTATGCTATGGTTTCAGAAGTCCCCTTCTGGTGATTTTAATCTTGAAAATGAACCACATGGGCTACCTAAAACCAAGATGGGGCTCGGCGCCTGTGGCTCAAGCGGCTAAGGCGCCAGCCACATACACCTAAGGTGGTGGTTTGAATCCCCAGCCCGGGCCCGCCAAACAACAATGATGGCTGCAACCAAAAAACGGCCAGGCGTTGTGGCGGGCGCCTGTGGTCCCAGCTACTTGGGAGGCTGAGGCAGGAGACTCACTTGAGCCCAGGAGTTGGGAGGTTGCTGTGAGCGTGATGCCATGGCACTCTAACCAGGGGGATGGCTTGAGGCTCCGTCTCAAAAAATAAAATAAAATAAAAAAATAAAACCAAGATGGATAATGATGAGCTGAAAGCCACAGTGGAAGCAAACCTGCCTCAACCTACCCGTGAATTAACCACAAGGGTTGACATTACTATTCCAACAATACTGGACAATTTGAAAGAAATTAGCAAGGTAAAGAAGCTAGATAAATGGGTTCCCGGTAAATTAAATGAGTGCCAGAAGAGAAATCATCTCAAAGCTTACCTTTCTTTGCTGTCATGACATAAAGGCAAACTATTTCTACACCGTATTTTTTTGTTTATTTGTTTTTCTTTTGAGACAAGAGTCTCACCCTTGGTCAAAGCTCACAGCAACCTCCAACTCTTGGGCTCATGCAATTCTCTTCCAAGCAGCTGGGACTACAAGCGCCTACCACAATGCCCAGCTATTTTTTGAGACAGAGTCTTGCTCTTGTTCTAGCTGGTCTCGAACCTGTGAGCTCAGGGCAATCCACTCGTCTAGGCCTCTCAGAGCGCTAAGATTACTGGCGTGAGCCACCATGCCTGGCCTTCTACACCATATTGTTATGTGTGATGAAAAATGGATTCTTTTTGACAGTCCCAAGCTTTCAGCACAATGGCTGGATAAAGATGAAATGCTGAAATAGTCCAGAACAAATATTCATCAAAAAACAGCTAATAGTGTCTGTTTGGTGGTCCAGTGCTAGTATTATCCATTACAGTTTCATGAAACCTGGTTAGTTGATTACAGCAGACATCTGCTGCAATGTATTCAATGAAAGGAGAAGGGTACTTGTAATTAAGCAGCCAAGACTGGCCAAGAGAGACAGGACAATCCTCTTGCAAGACAACGCTGTTGCACAAACAACACTATTCCAGATACAGAAATTGAACTTGGAAACTCTCTGTCATCTACTATATTTACTGGGACTTGCATAAACTGACTACCACTTCTTCCAGGCTTTGGACCACTTCTTGCAAGGAAAAATATTCATCCTCAACGAGGTTTGGAAAATGCCTTTAGTGATGTCATCACCACTCATTCTTCAGGCTTCTTTATGACTGGCATACACAAGGTAGTGTTAAGATGGTAAAAATATGTTGATAGCTTAGATGCATACTTTGATTAACTGTATTGCTTCCTGAGACACAATAAACTAAAATTTTGATTCAAAATTGTACATTTCAGACTTAATGACCTAATAGTAAGTATACTCTGAATACTCAAGTATCAAGTTCTTTTGCTTACATATATGTAACCTGATAATCATTATTATTATTATTATTTTTTGAGACAGAGCCTCAAGCTATCCCCCTGGGTAGAGTGCTATGGCATCATAGCTCACAGCAACCTCCAACTCCTGGGCTCAAGTGAGTCTCTTGTCTCTGCCTCCCAAGTAGCTGGGAGCACAGGTGCCTGCCACAACGCCCGACTATTTTTTGGTTGCAGCCATCATTGTTTGGCGGGCCTGGGCTGGATTCAAACCTGCTACCTTAGGTGTATGTGGCTGGCGTCTTAGCCACTTGAGCCACAGGTGCTGAACCATTATTATTATTATTTTATTTTTATTTTTAGAGACAGTTTTTGCTATGTTGCCCAGGCAGGAGGCTATTTACCGCAGTAATCTTAGCACACTGCACTCTCCCCACCTCAGCCTCTTGAGTAGCTGGGTCTACAGGTGCATGCCACCACACTTGGCTTTTGATAATCAAATTGATTTTCTCTCATATCATGTAATGTCAGAAAGTTAAAATTCTAATAAAATTTTGAGGTTCAATTTTAAAGTACCTTAAAAAAAAGAATTAAACAGAGTAGTGAAATGAAAAGGCTGACCCGCATATTTATAAATCTAAATTTATTTTTTTCCTTCTTCTTCCTTTTTTTTTGTACAGACAGAGTCTTACTTTATCGCCCTCAGTAGAGTGCTGTGGTGTCATAGCTCACAGCAACCTCCGACTCCTGGGCTTAAGTGAGTCTCTTGCCTCAGCCTCCCAAGTAGCTGGGACTACAGGCGCCCACCACAATGCCGGGCTATTTTTTCTGTTGTTGCAGTTCAACTGGGGTTGGGTTTGAACCTGCCCACCCTTGGTATATGGGGCTGGCGCTCTACCCACTGAACCACAGGCGCTGCCCATAAATCTAAATTTAAAGACTTAAAAATAAAAGTATGTGTGTTAAAACAGATTTATGAAAACACAAACACTTAGGAATAGTACAAATTACTCCTATTCTTTCATCACATTTAATTACACTCTAAGACATTTTTATTTTAAAATTAAACCTACTTCTTTCTAAACTTAACTCTTGAATAAATAATTACAGAATAAAAACTATAAATTTAAAAATTCACTGTGAAAATATTTATACCTGGCAGAATCCTACAACTTGTACAGATTAATAGAAGTTAATTCTTACTGTGAAAGCTTGGAGAGCACTGGTGGATAACTCCTTCTCTTGATCAGTGATCCCAGAGGACTGACCTGTGCCTTCATGTTTTTCTGCTCCCTGATCTGCAAACCACACACAAAAGTTTTACAGTTTTTTACAAATATAATTGTACAGCAGTCTTCTCTTATCCATGGTTTCAGCTACCTGAGGTCAACCATGGTCTGAAAATATCAAACAGAAAATTTCAGAAATTAACAACTATAAAATTTTAAATTGTACATTGTTCCAAATAGCATGATAAAATCTCATGCCATCCCAGAACCATCCTTTTGTCCAGCATTCCATACTGAATACAATACCCACCTATTAGTTACTTAGTAACCATCCTGGTTATCAGATGGACAGATAATAGGGATGAGTACAGTACAATAAGGTATTCTGGGAAAGAGGGACCACATTCAAACAACCTTAATTATAGTATATTGTTTTAACTATTCTATTTTATAATTAGTTATTATTGTCAGTCTCCTACTGTGCTTAATTTATAAGTATTATATATATACATGTGTGTGCATATATATATATGTGTGTATATATATCAATAAAAACATAGTATAAGGCCTTTACTTCTAGCTACTCTAAAGGCTGATGTCAGTGGGAGAATCACTTGAGGTCAGGAGTTAGACACCAGCCTAGGCAATATAGTGAGACCCTATCTCCATAAAAATAATAAAAAATATTAGCTGGGTGTGGTGGCATGTTCCTTAGCTCCCTACTACTAGGGAGGCTAAGGTGAGATTGCTTGAGCTGAGGAATTTGAGGCTGTAGTGAGTTATGATATGCTGTTGTACTCCAGCCTGGGTAAAAGAGCAGGGTTCAGTACTACTTGTGGTTTCAAGCATCCTCTGGAACATAATTCACTGAGGATAAAGGGGGACTAGTGTACTGTGAATTTGTCTCCATTTTTCTCAATTATCTTCTTCCTAACGAGGTTGCCAAAATTAGAGGTCTCTCAACAGCTAATCAGTGTCATAAGTGAGAAACCACTTGTCCAAAAACCTGAAAAGTTTCTCTTGGCCTTGGTGAAACACAATGAAAACTTGCTCACTTAAATGAAGACTATAAGTTCTGTAATTAGGATATTTAAGCTGAGAATGTTATGCTCTTTTAAAAACATGCAGACTATTACATATTCAAGAAAATATCCCAGGTCCTGGGGACACAAGGAGACTATAAAAATACCTACAACATCTTCAAGAGGTTTAATCTAGTTGGAAGGCTCGGCACCCGTAGCTCACTGGTTAGGGTGCTGGCCACATACACTGAGGCTGGCAGGTTCGAACCCGGTCCAGGCCTGCTAAACAACAATGACAACTACAACAAAAAACAGCCAGGCGTTGTGGTGGGTGCCTGCAGTCCCAGCTACTTGGGAGGCGGAGGCAAGGGAATCACACTTAAGCCCAAGAGTCTGAGGTTGCTATAAGCTGTGACGCCGCTGCACTTTACCATGGGTGATGTAGTGAGACTCTGTCTCAAAAAAAAAAAAATTAGTTGGAAAATAATAACATTTAAAAATTAGAAAACTACATTAAGAGTTCAGTTCTGGATTCCTAATTTGAGGCTAATAAAAAGCAGAAAGAAAAAAAGCAAAGAGCTCAATTTCCAAGCAAAGAATGTTTTCATAGCCTTAGAAATCCAAGTCAACGATTAACACATTTAAAAAGCTTCCTTAACGTGATTATGATTAATAATCTGTTTAGCTGGGAAAACTAATTAAAAAGTAAATTTAATATAGTATTTTAAACATTAGATTCTGATTTTTTTTTTTAAAGACAAAGTCCTCCTCTGTCACCTAGGCTAGAGAACACAGTGGCTCAATTATAGCTTACTGTAATCTCAAACTCCTGGGTTCAACAGATTTCCCACCTTATCCCCTGAGAAGCTAAGATTATAGGCAATTACATGATGCACAGCTAAGTTTTTTATTTTTATAGTTTGTAGAGACAGGGTATGTCACCAGGCTGGTATCAAACTCCTGGACTCACTCCGCCTCACAGAGCACTGAGATTATAGGTGTTTTGTTTTGTTTTGTTTATTTGAAAACAGAATTCCAAAATAAAGGTAAAAATCTCAACTGAACCAAATCTAAAACTCTAAACAAAAGCATGTAAGGACAATACTTTGAAGGGTGCTGACAAATGCTTCTGTACTAAAATTCACTAAAGAAGAGTCATCATCACGTCTGAGCACAACACAGTAAAATTTTATCACTTCTTGTTCACAATGGATCTTTCTAGACTAAGCTTAGTCTATATAATTTGTGGTGGATGATTTCTGGTGGAGAGAGGTTTACAGGAATCTTTTGTCCATTTTTTTCTCCTTGGGATCTGGAACCTTGAGGCAAGATGAGTCAAAGGAAGCTAATTCATTAAATCATATTCTTTGGAGACAGAAGAATGATGCTTATTTAGTTCTCACAAACTTCAAACTTTCATCTGTAAATTACACAGTCATACCCATAAAACATAATTAGACCAATGTAAAACCACAGTTTATATTTCTGCACAGAGAATTAGACATAATTTTTAATTTTTTAGGAAAAAGGAGGCAATAACATAAGTTATAAAAGTCAAATTAATAGTAAATACTTCTAGTAACCACATCAAGGGACCATAAAAAAGAGTTAAAACTGTTTTGAAACAGGTTTCAAAATCTTTTAGCCCTTTTCACATTTATCCAATTCTGCAATAATAACAAAGACTTAGGGAATAGGAATGGCAGGTAGCAAAGAAAGCCAAGGTCCTCGAGAAGACATAGCTACCTAGCTATAATGCCATGGGTTATTTTAACTTCATCTTTAACCTGAAAATTTAAGATACCTACACCATGACATTTCTTGCTTTTCCCTAAGGCGCTGATCTCAACATATAAGTTGTACTTAGTCTTTTAGAAGCTGTTTTCTTCTAAGATTTAGAAACATTTTTCCCACTTAGAAAACTTTCTTTTGACTTTTGAAAAAACCCTCTAATCTACTTTTCTATTATTTTTTGAATCTTTTTATCTCCACTCAGCCCTTGTCCCCAAATTTTCAATTTTGAAAATCATACCTACAGAAAAACTCTAAGGATATACGATGAAGACCCCTATTTTCTTCACCTAAGACTGTTTATTTACATTAAACCTTTCACTTGGGCTCGGCGCCTATAGCTCAACCGGCTAAGGCACCAGCCACGTACACCTAAGGTGGCGGGTTCGAATCCCCAGCCCGGACCCGC